GAAGGTTAAGAAGATGAGACTGGCACCACCCTAAGGAATTCACGGTGTTGTGGCTTGCTGGCTTGGGAAGGTTAGATTCAGTCTGGGGAGATTTCTGTCTTTTAGGTGGGAGCTAATAAACGCAACAGAACTGTATCTGTACTGTCTCGTGGAGTTCTTTGGGCTGAACCTGATACTCGTATTCACATAAAAAGTTATTTTATCACACCACAATCAAGATGGTCTTGCACAGCAACTTATGAGTTAACGTTTACCTATGTTATGTACAGTATTATTAGATTTATCTCCCACTTTATTTTGTTCAACCCACGGCAGTGCACGTAAGCTCCTGCCTCCCGCTTTCCCCGCAACAACTGCCCTGCAAGGGGGAGGGACTGGCCCAAAGCCCCCCAGCTGGCTTTCATGCCTAAGAGAGGACTAGAACTCAGGGTCTCTGGCTGGCAATCCAGAACCTTAGCCACTACACCAAATTGGCTATCTAGAAATTTAGAAATCTCTACCGAATAAGTCTCATACAAGGGATCAGCTGACTGAACGGTCTTGAGGAAGCCAGCCTCTTAGCCCTTGCAAGATCTGCCAGTCCCATCATTTCACTCACCACAGTGAACTTGATGGTCAGGTTTCTTCCTAATTTTCAATCAGAAACATTTAGTGAGGATCACCCTTAACTACACTGGGGCTGGATACCCATAACATCTGAAACAGGTTTCAGTGATCTAATGGCTGCATACGTATAACAGATTAAGCATAGCTGAAGTTCATTTAGTTTTGGTTTTTGTTTTGTTTTTGTAGTTTAGCATGTTGTATGAAACCAGCTCATTAATGTATGGTTTGAAGCCAAAATATGAATTTATGCAATAATCAAAGTAAGTATGATGAGCCCTCTCTTGCTTGGTAGGGCTAGGGTTACAGGGTTGTAGCTTCTGCAGTGCCCAGATGTTCTTCCTCACATTCCCAACTTCACGGCTTTTATCTGCAAGTAAGGGGAAAGGTCAGCACCCCACATGGTAGATATTGCTCTCCACTCTATTGGGCTGAACAAATGAAACAGATTCACTAATTATACGGAAAAGCAGAGATCAAGATTGTATCAATTGAGTCTGCCTTTGGTGAGGGTGAGTGAAGCCCCCCCTTGGATTGTATAGGTTCATTTTTTCATCCCTATCCAGTATCTTGTCATCCTAGCCATCTTTTATTCTTAATTTTTGTCTATTACCGTACTTTTTCTTGTTTTTAATGTTTTCATTTGTAAGCTGCCCAGTGTTGTTGGCAGCATATAAATTTAAATACATTATGCAGAAAACCTCATTCCTACAAAGCACCATGCAAACGAGTCCCAAGAAGATACTGAATCCTCCATGTTTTCGTCTCATCTCTTATCACTTTAAAAGAGCTCCACTGCATCGCTCTGGGCAAATATAACAGTAATTGAGAAGGGCAATTCTTTGTCAGCAGAGATGCTTGGGCCCTGTAATGGGGCCTAGGCCGCGTGCAGGCAGCGTCACTCTGGCTTTTCCTCAACACTGCTGACGCTCTCACTCCACTCATTTCAGCACCACCTGCTTTCTAGAAAGAATCACATTAACCAGCAGGGCCGTCTCCCCTTTCAAGCAGGTTTTGACCAAACTCCCTGCAGAAAGGAAAAGAAATCTCAGAAAGGCCATCAGAAAACCATCAACCCAACGGAGAAGGCTTTCTTAAACAGATCCCCTGCGGTCTCCCAAGTCTCAGGAAGCACGAGCTTTGCCAGGATAGCAAAATAAGCAGCTGGCAGAACTCAAGTACAAGAAAAAACAACTGAAAAAAAAAAAGGCTGTTGGTAGGAAAACAGGCAGTGCACCAACAGAATCCCTACTCAGTCTCTCACACACATGCCCCTTTGGGTACATTCATTCTCCTGGTCAGGAGAAAAAAAATCAAGATGGAGCACTGCAACTCCTCCTCCTCCTCCTCCTCGTTTGTCTATTGTGGATGTAGGAGGAGGAGGCTAAGAGAGATTTACTCTTTGTGTCTTCCCTGTGCAATCTGTTTTTCCATTCACCAACCTGGCATTTAGAAGAATAATTTCAAACTAGGAAGACTATCACTAAGGCCTCTCTGGCACCATGACAGTCAGCCCTCAATTTATTTCAGAAAGGGGAAAAGTTACCTGGTTTCCCATTCTCTCCCAATAAGATTGATGACTACATTGCTATGTTCAAGAGCTCTTTGGATAGAATCTTTGTTGCGTGAATCCCACTCCTGGTAACCACAAAAACACAAAATAAGTTAAATGATGTCCACAAACCTTTCACAAAGATGTACAGTAGTTCATGGCCTGTATAACATCTCTTTCTCACAAGAGATTATTATTACACTCTTTATAGCATGAACCAAGTTGTAAGATTAAGAACCACAGAAAAAGTAGAGTCTGTATTAAAATACTTTCGTTAGGTTTTGCCTTCATAAGGATTTGAGGCAAACTCATAGCATACCATAAAGATAATCTGCCCCAGGTCACCCATGGGCCGAAGATACAGGAGGTCGTACTCATCACAGCGATACGGGATGACGACTTGGGAACCAACCCGGCCTAGAAGGATCAGAGACATTTCCTTGGAATGGAGTCATTACAGGATATATAGGAAACACTCACACTTTCAGCAGCCGCAAACACACGGGCTATCTATTAAACATTAGCGTCAAGCCATGTTCACTTTTTACATGTCAGATGGTAAAAGTGGCGTTCACAGGGCCATCATCCAGGCATTAGGCTCCTCTGGACTTCTGGAAGCCCCATGCCCCATGGAAAGCTCCTTTGGAAACTGGAACAAGTTTCAAAAATACTTTGTGATCCACGAGGATGTGTGGATGTTAATTTTGACCTGTTGGGTCCCCCCCGCCTTGCAGAGTGGAGAGATTGGAAAGGAAGGGATTACAAGAGAGTAAGCAGGCACACAATGGGGAATACACATCGAAAGGAACGTGGTGGTGCTGGCAGTCCTGAGCACACTATGCAAATAGCCAGTGTATTCCCCATTGTGTGCCTACTTACTCTCTTGTAATCCCTTCCTTTCCAATCTCTCCGCTCTGTGAGAGGGGGAGGGGAAAACGGATCAGGCACAGGAGAGATTGCCTCCAGAAATCGCTTGGGCTTTTTTTCTCCCCTCGCAACATTTTATTGAAGGGAGGAAGATGAACATTTCTTTATTCAGCAACAGGAAGAAGACAGCTGGAGATCAAAACCGGAGGTCAAAACAATAGACCTGAGATACGTAGACAGCGCCATTCATTCAGCTGAAACTAAGGACTTAAAAGACAGAAGTGATGGCCACCAGCATACTTAGCGAGCTCATTAGTAACAGGAAAGAAGTGAAGGTGACTACAACAAAGATCAAAACAGTGAAAGCTATAGTCTTCCTAGGGGTAGCGTAAATTATGGAGACTGAAACACCGAAAGAGAGATACAGGCAGTCCTCTGCAGTTACCATAATGCTCCCATCCTAGATCTCTTACTTAAGTCATCTTTCAAGTAGCTCAGCCTCCATATTTGCATACAAACTGGGCGGTCAGCTTTTGCACACGTGTGACCTCTGGAGAGCATAGGTGGGCAAAAACCTAGCCATTTTGCACATGTGCAGTCACGGCATCTGCCACATTTTGCATTTCTTGTGTTCACTGGAATTCATGTAAATAAATGTCTTGTGTAACCCAGGGACTACCTGTACTCCTTCCTTCCAATGATGGAAGTAGAGACATTTACTAAGAGGACCGTGGAGTGCAAGAAGAATCAGTCTGTCAGTTCTGGATGAAATAAAGACTGTTCCCTCAAAGTGCTGAGTCAGCAAAAACTCTTCACTTCCCTTATCAGCATCCCTATGAAGTCTTCATTGTCAGTGATACACACACACGGTTATACAGAAATCTATAAATGATTTCATGAGTTTTCTTAGATTATTTTCAGTTACTTCAATTAAGTGCTCAATTCTAAGGTGAATTTAGGTAATTTGGAACAGATTTTCTTTTACAGGAAGCAGTCCAAATGGCTAAAACTCACCCTGCTATGAAATGAGTCTTGTCACACAAATCCAGTCCTGAGTTTTCTTAATGGATTATTTTAGTTACTTTAATTAACTGCTCCAAATTTCCGTCCGCCTAGCTGCAAATAGTGGCCGCACGGTAGCCACACCCCAAAGGGGGAATTTCTGTAAAACTCCATGGTGATAAAGAAAAGAAAGCAGAGAAGGAATTGGTTCAGTGACTAACAGGTTTGTCTCAAATCAGAGTGACCCTTGTAAGCAGGGTAAGCAGGACCATTTATGAAGGCTGGAGAAGTCTTAGGGAGAAAGATCCTAGTCATACCATTTGCTCTGCCCTCAACGTCACTCTCAGTCATATATGGCAATATTTATGAACTGTCTCAGCTAACAGACCAGCTTGGCAGTGGATCTTTCTTCTTTTGAAGAAATCCTATTTCCTCCTTACCATCTGCCATCAAACCACAATTCCAACAATATCTGATTGGGAACTTAAATTTGGAGAATACACAGCAATGGCAAAATTAACAGTGTATACACATAATAAAAGTTCAACCAAATTTAAGCAAAAATTAGTCCCATACATCCAAGGTATCATGCAGCATGCTAACCCTTCCTTCACTCCATATCCCTTCAACCTATGTCTGAAATTTGCCAGGGATATTCCTTTTCATATGAACCATATTTGCTACAAATACACCACCGTCCTGTCCTTGAAACACAAAAGTTCAGGATGATTAAAAACACCTTAAAATACTGTTGTTAATACCTCTACCCTATCCCCTGGGACTGATTTCTATGGAATTTGGCTCCATTCATCTATACATGATTACGTTTTGCTTTCATTTTGTTTTTGTGAAAACATCCTGGGACTTAAAAAAAAAGACAATGAATGAGCGCAACTTGAAAATGCACTAATTTATATAAAATATGGCACCATTATTTCCTGATGATGAAATTTATTGTAAATTTCATCCCATTTGCATCAGTATAATTGTTTGGGCATTTATATTTTCCCTATGCTGGGAAAGAAATGCTCCACTTTTCTCCCCTATTGTTTCATGGATCAGAGCAGATGCGTAGGTCCTGCCTTTGAGGCAGAGAAGAGGAAGGCATCACCTGGCTTACAGA